AAATAATAAAATTTTATTGAAAAAAAAAAAAAGAAGCGTTTCAATATGTTGCTCCAGCCAAACCTGCTTCTTTCTACTTTTCTTGTATGCCTGTGTAGTAGTTATCTCTTTGTACAAGAAAGCATCACACATTGCTTTACACAATTTGCTAAAGGAAAATATCTCAAACTAGTCTATATAAGGAGATCTGAGTATGTATATATGCTTCTTCCTCATTCATGGCCTTAAGGCAGTGATGGCGAACCTTTTAGAGACCGAGAGCCCAAAAACTGGCCCTGCCCCTGTTCCACCCCCTGCCCCGCCCCCACCCCGCCTGCCCGCAGGGCCACTCACCGCCTCCAGGGCCTGCCGCAGATCACCCAGGCAGCCCAGCAGCGCCATGGCGGCCACGCCCTCTGCCCGCGCCCCGCAGCATCAACTGTGCACGATGTGGCGTGAGGCCAGATTCTTGTCTATGCTGCCTGGCTGCCATGTTCTTGGCTGCGCTGCTCCGCATGGGCCACGCTCGGGGGTGATTCTCCTCCAGGGGGGCTGCTGGTGAGGAGGGGGTCACGGGGGGAGGCAAGGCTGGGGCAATGGCAAGTGTGCCCACAGAGAGGGCTCTGAGTGCCGCCTCTGGCACGCGTGCCATAGGTTCGCCACCACTGCCTTAAGGTATACAACAGTAGCTTCACAAAAGGAGTTTTAATAACTACATGGAGGCACTATATACTATTGTCACAGCTAATAGCCATTTGTGTATTCATTATGACAATGTCTTTTAATTTAAGGAAGCAGAGTTCCATCAGCCTACAGAAGAGTAATCAGAGCAATGCTATAAACATATAGTGGGGGTTTAGTCCTGGGTAAAGAAGACAAAACCAATTTTCAAATAGTGAATAAGCCATTTTATTTTTGTCCTGTGCTTGCATTCTTTCCTCACTTTCTCAATAGATCATAGAAACCATTCAAAATAAAACCTCAGAAATAAATTAACATATGCACACAACAGAGCTCCATCCTACACATCCAACAACTAGTCACAGCTCCAACACATTTTGTGCTTCAAGTTTCATGCTGTTCATTCCAAAAGCAGGAGAAATGAAGACTCCATAAATTTACTTCTTATCCACTCATGTATTTTTCCTGGAAAAAGTCAAGGCAAAAAAATAACTCATGTTTGCAAACATTGCTTTATACCAATTAAACAATGCATAATATCTCTACAATCCTCCAGAAGATGCCCATTTCAGTGTTATGCCCTCTCACATCATCACATACACAGGACTGAGTGGCTGGGGAAAAAACCAAAGCCATTTTAGCTCTACAGTTGCTGGTCGTCAGTAATACTCCCAGCTGTGCTATACTGCAAGTTAACCGCTTCAGGGGTGGCCTTGGAGTTTGAGGCTAGCTGTGTTCAAGGCACTACCCTCACCCTTCGCCTTATTTTCTTTCAATGGGGGGGAAGAGGGAAGTTGGAATGACACCCAAGGACAGAAGGGAAGCCAGCTGTGGAATCAGTTAACACATTGAGTCTTTATGGCAAAAAGAACCTTCAGTAGCTTTGATTTTGAGGGGAAGTACTACCCTTCTTTCCTATATACCAGGGGTGTCAAACTGCCGGCCCACGGGCCGGTTTCATCATACCGGAGCTGCGCCCACCCCATTGCCGGCAATGGCAAAATAGTCCCGATACGTCTCGCAACGTCACGTGATGTCGCGAGTTTGACATGTCTGCTATATACATACTCAAGTTCATTCTATAGCCCTATAGGGGAAGGGAAACAACACAGGAACACAAACCATAATAAATTAAAATCAAACTGCCCATTCAAAAAGAGACTTGCTGTAGATGGATCTCAACACAAGCATGCCCACTTAACAGAAGTGAAACCAGCTGTGCTGTAGACCAAATGGTGATGGTCACATGCCTTGCGGACTCTAGATCTACACCTTTGGCCCTATACTTCCCATCACCCAAAGCAGTCTCTCTAAGCCAGGTGTGTCAAACTTGCAACATCACGTGACATGTCATGACGTATTGCAACTTTTTTGCCATTGACGGCAATGGGGTGGGCGTGGTTTTGCTATGATGCATCCGGCCCGTGAGCCGGCAGTTTGACACCCCTGCTCTAAGCCAATCAATGGGATACTAAATTGAAGACTACAATTTTGTATTATGCAATTTTACCATGTGCCATCACATTGTAATGCATCTTGATAGTTGCCCAGAATTAATGCAGGCTCCTCACTGTGCACAAGGGACATATTTAACAAAGTTTTCAATTGATGAGGGAATGATTAAGATACATTAGGATAGTAATTCTATTAACCCTTTCCACTCCTACCCTGCCAAATGTTTATGATAAATGCTGACCTTCAAATTGGCAGTATATATAAATTCCTTGAATGGAAAACACTTGCTTTTAGCTTGAGGGAAAATTTTTCTCTTCTCTCCTAAGTACAATCAATTTTCTGTGCTCCCTCTGTAGTTACGTACATACAGATCTACAAAGAGATCATGGCTAAGTATTCAGATTTAGGCATGGTTTTGAGCTGTGTCAAACTAGTTAAAAAAAATCCAACCAGCTATCTGAAATACCCAAGACTTGGAAAGTCAAAGAAAAAAAACACTTAGGTCTCCTCAATCTATCTATTTAACTTTTTTTCCTTTACAAAAAAAGGCAGTTTCAACAATTCAAATTTTCTACCCTCTGCTGAGATTTCCCCCCTCCCCACACACACATTATGCCAGCTAATTCACACTCTTATATGTTCAATTGGTTTGAGGCGTCTGGAAGCACAGGTCTTTCCCAACATGCTTTGCCATTCCACCTCTCAAGACTTGTAGGCCCCCTGCCCAGCAGTATGCTCCTATACACTGGCTGGAAGCAAGCATGATTTGAGAAGATATATTAGATAAGAAGGCATGAAAGTTCCTCCAAATTCTTCTGGGCTCAGCCTTTCTCGAAGTTGCAGATTCAGCAAGTTTTATGCTTTCCAAATGATATTCAACATCTGTCACTTCCTCCTGTCTTTTTGTTTCCTCTCTTGACACCACCCCTGCTGGTTAGCCAAGGAACGTGATATTAGAATAACACTGCCATCACTGGCATGCTGTAGAATATACTGATTTGGGGAATAGGGCTGGCCATTCTCATCACGCAGATGGCCAAATACTTCCTGGTAGAGGGTCTGCATTTTTTGCTTCATCTGGCGGATGGACCTGAGAAATTCCACCTTCTCCCTGAGCAGCTTTGATTTGTCTCTCTGCAAATCGTCTACATCCCGCTCCAGATTGAGTATAGTGTCCAGTTTTCTCTTACGACAATTCTGGGCTGCCATCTTATTCTTACCCCTTCTACGAATGTCACGGATTAGGATCAGCTGTGCTTCACTCAACTGATACTTGGACAGGAGTTCATTGAATTCCTCTACTGGCAAATTGATGATCTTTTCATTGGGAAAAGGAATCTTCATGGCTCGGGCTCTATGTTCATCTCTGCTCATCTGCTTATCTATAAAATCTGCTTGCTTCTCTTTGGAACTCTTCTTTCCCACACTAGCTGGCTGGGGATCATCAGTGTCTAAGGTCCTGGGGGCCATGTTGTATGTGTGATTATGACCCACATGCTCAAGATAAGGCAGGTACTGCAATTGAGGAGGATTCTGGTAGCTCATCCGACAGAACTTGCTATATTCTGGCTGATACCCAACAGCTCTTTCTGCATCTTCAAAGTCCACATTTTCAGTATCAGAATTGTAGCCTACAGCTCCTTCCTCAGAAAAGGAGGAAGAGGATGAAGAGGATGATAATGCTTCTGAGCTGCTGAGAGAAGCAGGACTGTGACTTGAATCCAGGGAGAGCCCTGAATCTGAATCAAATTCCTCTTCCAAGCAGGATGCCTGCACTGGGTTGAAGCCTTCTTCAATAGCCAAATCCATTAAACTAATCTCATCTAGCATGGCTTCATCCAGGAGCCCTCCAAGAGGATCTGGGAGTTCAGACCCAGATGTTTCATTTACAGTGCAGTTTAACTGGGGAGGAAAAAAGATTCCACTTAGGTTGGTAGAGCCAAATGCGGTGTTGAAGTCAGTGGAGTTATCAGGAACCAGTTGCAACAAAGCTGAGCCACCAGCCACTGAGGGACTTTCAATTTCAGAGCTGAATAGGGAAGGGAAGTCTTGTGTGCAGCCAACCAGCGATGCCTGATGCAGGCTGACATTATGGTTAATAGGGGTGGATGGAGCAAGGCTATAGTTGGCTGTCAGAAGATTTTCACTTGAGCTGTTGTATAGAGTTTCTACAGTTGTGCTGTTTACCTCCATGCTCTGCAAAGGAAAGACCCTTTTTAGATTCTGCAGTTCTCAGTATTGCCCAATTCAACCAACAACTTAAAAAATAAGAGTCCAAAGAAAAGAGTAAAAATGAATTATACTTCCACTAGCAGAATGGATACTATTGGAGGATCAAATTACCCCTTCTGCTTACAAGGCTTAACTCACATACAAAATCTGATCCAGTAGACCCTCCAATCCTCCAGAGTAGATAGGGGGCATAGAAGGTAGTAGGGGGAGTATACTGGCCATCCCGAACCTAGTATCTTGTATTCTGGGCACATTGGCCTGGAAACATACACATTAACATTTATAGTAGTCTCCTCATCCATGCAAATGGACAAAAAATTCAGATATGGGGTTCACTGTAAACAAATCAGAAATTAAATACCTTGTTCTTAGATAACAATCTTATTAGTTACTGTCCTTGAACCATCAGGAAAGCATCTAGGATGACCTAGCTATTGTTTTCCCTCAAGGCTATTTTCTACATAAAATGCAGTATCCTACCCAATTCTCTCCTCCAGCCACAAAGCTTTTGGCAAAATAAAAAAGCAGGAGGTGGGTAATTACCTGTTATATAAGGGAAACACTATGACAGGGAGGAGTACAGACATGTTGCACGGTTGTGCATAAGAAAAAATTGTCCCCAGGTTGCACTGGATTATTAGAATCCTGCGGATTGTTTGGATTTCCCCTCTAGTAAGTGGTTTAGGTGTTCTCTGATTTACTATCTTGCTGGTAATCATTTGGTGCCACACATTTTTCTGATTTTGAGGAGTATATTCAACAAGATGGTTTTAGGAAAATTCCAACTCTACAGAATTTTGCATTTGTCCCTTTGTGATGAATGTTCCATTCTATACTCCTACCAAATGCCACAAAAAAAGTCCTAGCAGGAGTAAAGAGACTCCTCTACATTACAGATACTGTCACAAAGGGGTCAACTTATTTTCCAAAGCCCCTGAAGGCAGGACATGAAGCAATGGATGGAAACTAATCAAGGAAAGAAGCAACCTAGAACTAAGGAGAAATTTCCTGACAGTTAGAACAATTAATCAGTAGAACAACTTGCCTTCAGAAATCGTGGATGCTCCATCACTGGAGGTTTTTAAGAAGAGACTAGACAGCCACTTGTCTGAAATTGTATAGGGTCTCCTGCTTGAGCAGGGGGTTGGACTAGAAGACCTCCAAGGTCCCTTCCAACTCTGTTATTCTGTTAGATACTTCAAAGAAAATAAAATGTCCTGTTTTACATTTGACTGAAGCCTTGCAAAACAACATGCAATATCAATGATTGAAGTTTCTGAGGCAAACTGAAAGCTGGAATTATGTGTATGGGAATACCCAACTTTCTTCCACTGAAGAGACTTCTAGGACTATAACTATGGGTTGTATGAAACTAATGAAAGCAGGACAAAGAGGAATGCTAAATCCAGCAGTCATAGGATATTGTCCTATAGTATTGGTCCTGGAAAAAGCAACATCTGGAGAAACCTGTCTTTCCTCACCTGTGTTTCCATGATAGACATGAGGTCCTGCCACTGCTGCTCCAGATCAAAGGGCAACTCTGCCTCTGTCAGAAGGGGAGCCAGGAGCCCATCTGAAATGACAGAAGGGCCACTCTCATTTGGCTGAGAGTCAGTTAGGCTGGAAACATCTGCAGCTGGAAACTAAAACAAAACATATCAGGGTGAATTAATGGTGTCTAGGTGGCATGAAAACAGTAAGAAATCGTTTTTCTTTCCTTTCAATGTATGAACTTTAGAGGTTCTTAAGCTTTTGCCACATGCTGTGGCAGTCCATCCTCTTTCTCAAGTTTTATTATTTACTTAAACGTATTTCACACATTATAAATACATGAATAGATAACAAAATACTGTACATTATATTCCTTCACAGAAATCTTGTGGATGGATATTTGGGTCAATATAAAAGGGTGGAAAATGACATTGCCATAGGTGTATACTATAGGCCACACAACCGAACAGAGGAAATAGATGGAACTTTTTGCTAGTCAGCTAACTAAGGTATGTAGGAAGCACATCACAATAGTAATGGGGGACTTTAATTACCCTGACATCAACTGGGAGACAAACTCTGCACCAAGTGGAAGATCAAACAGATTCCTGACAAACCTAGCAGACAACTTTGTCTGCCAAAAAGTAGAGAAGGGAACTAGGGGATTAGCCATATTGGATCTAATTCTCACTAACAGAGATGAAATGATAGAAGGTGTTGAAGCCACAGGAACCTTGGGAGGAAGTGATCATGCAATATTGGAATTCAATATTATGGAAGCACAAGCAATAGAACACAGTCAAACTAGAGTCTTGCACTTTAAGAGAGCTAATTTCAATAAATTTAGAGAGGGCTTGGGAAGGATTCCATGGATGAGAATCCTCAAGGGGAAAACAACTCAAGAAGCTTGGGAAATTTTGAAAAGTGAGATAATAAAAGCCCAGTCTAGCACAATACCAACAAAGAAGAAAAATAACAGCTCTCAAAAGAAACCAGCATAGCTGCATAAAGAACTCTGATAAATTGAAAGATAAAAAGGACAAGTATAAAAAGTGGAAAGAGGGGCACATAACTAAGGCAGAATATCAGCAAATAGCCCGAACCTGCAAAGATGAAGTGAGGAAAGCTAAGGCTCAAAATGAACTAAGGCTTGCGACAAAAGTAAAAAATAACAAAAAAAAGCTTCTTTCAACATGTAAAAAACAAGAAAAAAGTTAAGGAAATGATTGGTCCATTAGTGGGGGAAAGTGGCAAGAAGGTGACAAGCAACAGGGAGAAAGCAGAACTATTTTTTTTTAATAAAATTTTTATTGATTTTTATAATTAAACAATAAGTAATATGATGCATTTGTATACGCAAGCATAAAAAACAATCCAAATCAATACATTGTCGGAAACGCTCGGCAGTCCCCGCCTTGCCTCCGCCCTCATCCACTTTCCTTTCCTTCCTCCCTCTGACCCACAACCTCTCCTCCTTCCTCCTTCCCACTTCTACATCCCCTCCCTTCCTGACCACCTCCTTGAGTGCAATTTGGGATACCAGCCGAGCATCTCCTCTTATCAATACAATTATTATTTACCTATAACATGTAAATACATCAATTTTTTTTACCCCTAATCCCCTTCCCCCCCTGAGCTTCCCGGAACCAAATACAGGATTGAAACACATCCCATTCCATATCTAAATTACCATTTAACTAAACAAATATAATACTATCAATATATACCTACTTTAACTCTAATAAGGCAATAAGTAAAAACAATATATCTACTCAAAATCTATATGATATTTAATCACTCC